GTTTTCCTTAGAAGCAGCTCTTAGAACGGCTAGTTAAAACACAATGGGTGATGCTGGTTACAGGCAATCGTACTATTTTTCTGGTAGAGTATTATTGAGATTGAATGTCAGATGTAAAGCACCTATATCTGCCGTGTCTGAAAAATGAAAATTTCTAGCCTATCAGATATTTCAGTAAAAAGATAGGGGTGGTGAGATGGTTCAGCGGATAAAGGCACCGGGTGCAGAGCCCGATGGCCCGAGTACAGGAGTACAGCCCCTACACATCCTAGGTAGTAGAAGGTGAAAACCAACTCCTGCAAGTTGTCTTTTGATCTGTTGAGTGAGCTTAATCCTAGGAGTTACAGAGGTGTGATGAAGTGTGAAGGCCATGACCATGAATTGGCATGTTTTGGAGCGGTGATTGTTCACACCCTGATAGAAACATCACGTGACTTTGGTTTTGAAGGTAGTGTGGGAGCTCCGGAGAGTCCTGAGATTTAGAGTGCAATCGTTTTTTCTCCCAGACATCCCACAAACCAGAAGGAACTGGTTTATCCTGTTCTACCCACAGAACTATAATGCAGAGTGAGAGACAGTGGAATCTCTTCACAGTTGAAGGGAGTCTGTGCACCCCTGTGGTGCTCTAGGCTTCGTTCATTCTCCATAACAACCTATTCCGGTAGGCACACTGGATGCCTATGACCAATGAAGCCACCAAACTACTGCTCTGGAAAGAACTCAGAGCCCAGAAATCACTTCCTGTGGTAACCTTTCATGCCAGCCCACATCTCTTTCTGCTACCTGACTGTTCTTTGGATAGGTTCTGTCACAGTGTGAAGGTGTTCTGATGTTTGTCTCCGGCTTTAAGTTACTCTCCTATGTAACATGTAAAGGCGAGGCTAGGGAGCCCTGACCAGCTGCCACTGTTCTAGTTCAGGACCTTGTTACAATGTTTCAAGTCTCTGCAGACTCTCCCACCTCAATGCAACTGTCTAGTCTTCTTAGCTTCTGTTCCCAAGACTACTTTGCCTGAGATCCCTAAAGTGGACAACAAGCGGCAGACATTAAGGTCAATGCCCGCCTGCAGTCAAACATACTTGGGGCCACAACCGTACACCGACCAATCCGACCATTGGCTCTATTCCAGCTAAGTTCTGCGTCCCTCCCCTCCGATGTACCTGTGGACTAACGTGTAAAATATTTTTGATTTTGAAAATCTAAAACCCTAAAAACAATTGGAAGCACAGTTCTGTAATCCCTTAGGTTATTAGGAGTTTTAACTCACATCTGTCTTTTATTAGACAAAATGTCTATAATGAAAAAACTAGGTAACCCCCCACACTAAGTTGTTTATACTGCATCAGCTCCACAGATCCTGGCCCTGTGTCTAGGCTGAAGCTGATTCATTTGCACGGTATTTCACTTTTTTACATTTTTGTTGTTGTTGTTGTAGCCCAGCATTGTGACACTGAAAGATGTTAGTCATCAAGTCTACACAGGAGAAGTACCCACACCCAGCTTACTGAGCCTGCTAGCTAACTCTTCCTTAGAGTCATCAAGTCTAGACGGGAAAAGTGCCCACACCCAGCTTACTGAGCCTGCTGGCTAGCTCTTCCTTAGATTTATTCTTTAGATTATAGATAATATTCTCAGGTCATAGCACCACCTAACCCTAGCCCTAGTGAGGTTTGCTGTATAATTTCTACAGGTGACCTGGCACTCATCTAAGTTGCTGGCTTCTATGCCTACATTCATCTTCCCAGTTTCGTGTCCTCCTCAGTTGGAGACTAATATTAGGGAGGCCACTTCCTCTTCCCTAAAGGACTTGAATTTACAGCAACCCCTGACTGATAGTTATGGTGTGAGATGTGACTTTTGAACATCCATTGTTATATAGAAGGCAGCAAACTACAGACAGAAGAGGAAGCCTCTGCAGCAAACTGCCCACGGTAAACCCCACCAGGCCATTTATGAGCCATGTCACTTTGGTTAATGCAGGTTATTGTTCCAGTTTTACCATCTATAAAATGAGAAAGATGAACATTTTATCAGTCTCATAAAACCACAGTGAGGATCCAGCGGTGTCTATTTTACACACACACACACACACACTATGTAATAGAGTCAAGCTATGTAAAATGAGAGAACATTTAGAATCGTACATGCTACGGAGTAAGTGGTTTATATTATTATTAATAGTATACATAATTTAATATATTGAGATTAAAAGATACTAAATCAGAAAACAGGTCAATAAATTTGCTTATTTTTTCTTACTATGTATTCTTAGAGCTAGGTATTTATTTCATAAAAAAAAAAAAGTTCCTGGAATGTATTTATATTCTGTCTTTCTCAAACTGCTAGTCTAAGGTTGAGAAACTTTTTCCCGGCATCTAGGCCGAAGCTATGGTTACTGATTGGTGGTGTGTTTCCCGGAGTTGGTGTAAAACGCTCTGGGTGGAAGCTCCCACACACACACCCCCCGGGGGGGGGGCGGTTCCGGTGTACCCTCTTTCTCCTTCCAATCTCTTTCATCTATTAGGAGTACCTATGAAGTTTTCAGTATTTGAAATGGCAATCTGAATTAGCCAAAACACGGTTGAAACACAATTGCATTCTGTGGCAAACACAGATGGCTCTTGAAGGACTAGAGCAGGGTGCCTGTCACTCAGTGAGCTCCGCCCTCCGCAGTCCCGCCCCCACTTCCTCCTCCCAGCAAAGCCCTCACACATCTCCAGGTTCATGAGCTTTCATTGACTTTCGTGGGTCACGTGGGCCTGGTTCGACTGGCGTTTGCAGAGTGAACTTTAACACGATGATAACCTGATATTCCACAGTCAGTAGCCACCTCTGAATTTTCTGCTCTTGGTGCTTAGAGCTCTCTGGTAGTCACTTGGCTCTTCAGAGTTCACTGAGCTAAATAAGGAATACCATATCCGAAAGCTTATACTGCCGCAGTGATCTGCTTTTCTGTGCTTTCTCCCCGTGTGTAAGCAGACCTTCACAGGAACTGACACCCCATTTCTCTTCACCATCAGTGTGCTGCACTGGGGCAACGTCTGTCTTTAACAAACCACAAAGCTCAGAAGGAATAGGATTAGGGCAGCCACTCATGTCTCCTTTGGTTTCCTTGCTCCAGATTAAATTGAAGTTAACCTTGTTAGTTCCTTTAACAGTCACACCCTGAAGGGTCGTACTTAGGCTTCCGGCTGCCCCTGTACGCTCCCTCCTCCCTTGCACACCTAGGTAAGCCTCTCTATACCTTTCCCATTTCAGGGGTTTCTACAAACAGCACTGAAGAGTCCCGGGCCAGGTATCACTTGAGGCTGCATGCACAAGTGGATGCAAGCAGGGACTTACCCTTCAGCGCAAAAGCATTTTTTTTTTTTTACCTTGCCTTTGGCGCCCCCCCCCCGGGGGTGGGGGGAAGAGGTGTGAGGATGAGAGATGCTCAATCCGTCATAAATGTGGAATTTTACTGTAGCAGGCACTCCTATAGGATAACGAATCCCTAGGAAGGGGATTTTCTAACAAACTGGATCAACCTCACAGAAACCTGGTTTTGAGAGGCAGGACTTAGACTCATAAAGGAGGGGTCCAGATTCCCCACACCAAGTGAGTGGAAAGGGCTTTGAACCTACTTAGAAGGGTACAGAATCTCTCTCCTGTCTCCCATCCCTGTTTAAAACCTCAAAATCAACCAACCAACCAAATAACAAACAGATATCAGGTCTTCTGGGTTCAGGAATTTATGTGCTGCTCTTTGTGATACTAGTCTGGAAGACAAGCTGGCGCTCACTCCTGAAGAGCAGAGAGGTGGCGACTGTCCTATTGTCTCTGCGGTTCCCTCTGCTTTATCAGGACACAGGAGGGGGTAGCATTTATTTTGCCCTCCAGTGCAGTCTTGCCTTTCCTTAAGAGCAAGCCCAGAGCACCAGGGTCACAGTCTCAGGCTGGAGGTGAACCTGTCCTTCCAGTTTGCAGGCTGTGCCATCCACGCCCTGGCACAACCTCTCCCAGTGTTGAACTTACCATTCCACCTATTTGCCTGGCCCTCCTCCCAGGGTCTCAGCCTACATTTTTTTTTTAAATCCTTTTCACGCTTTCTCAGCATGGTTGAGTTTATTTAAAACAAAACACAAAATGAAAAAAACAAAAAACAAAAAACAAACCCCAAAATTATTCTATGAAGGGAGGGCCTCCGTGTGGAGGTGATTTCCTAGGTGAGATGAGAAGATAGCCCACCATCTCACACTTGTCCCTTGTGGCTGGCAAGCATGTGTGCAAACTGGCTAGGCAGGGTCAGAGAAACGGTCAGTTTGTGACCACAGAGCAGGAGATAGCCCACTGGCTCTCCCCAACGAGAGGCATCCCCAGGTCCTAGTGGCACATGCATTAAGCCAACATAATACGCTCTCATATTCAGTTAAAGCCAGCTGTGGGGAGCCCAGCACACTGGGTAGCACACTCGTCTCTTAGGGTGACACGGCTCTCATACCAGATCTGAACACATCTACCAGGGCATACTGAGTCAACACCTGTGACTAAGGTCGGTGTTCATGAGAATTCTTCGGACCTCAAATTTGACATTTAGGGTATGGGTGGAGAATTTCTCCTTTTCTCCCACCACCGAATGAGCCAAATCAAAGTGGAGCTGATTTGGGAGCACCCACAGGTGTAGTAGTTCTACATTCTTACGTGGTAACTCACAAACCACTGGATAAGCAACACTGTGCTAAAAGGAATTTAAGCCTGTCAGGTTAATTACACAATATTAGGTACGAAAACAAACAGTGCAACACAAAACATAGCTACATCATTATTTGCAGTAAATGTTAACTCTAAATAAGTGCAACCTGTCCACAAATGCTTGCTATAAACTAATTAAAAAAAAAACAAAATTTGATGGATAAACATGAAAAAAAAATTCTCACCGAGAATTTTTTTTTTTTTTTAAAATATCAGCACTCATTTAGAGTTCGGGATTTGTGAAAGAAAAGCTTTAAAAAGGAGCAAACCTGATTGGCTGTGGCTGTTGCTGCGAAGGGGACACTTGTTGCAGGAGTTGTTGCTGCAGAGACAGTGGCGGACGTAGCGCTGTGCATCATGGGTACTTTCAGGAGGGGAACCATGGGAGCAATGAACAGGAGGGTGTAGCATTATGGTAATAGAAGTGGTATTGGCATGGTGAATATCAGAGCAGCAAGCCATCATGGGTTAACCAGCAGATGGCATGCGATCACAGTGCAAAGCAAGGAAGCATGGGAGAGAAATAAAAAGGGAAAATAGCTTATTACAAGTACAATTAAAGGAAGTTTTCAAACATAATCAGTGATTCCCAGAAAGACCAAAGAGCATCGCTTTGATCGATGTATTTATAAACGTTTTGTTTCCAACGACAGAACCATTCCCAATTCAGAGGACGACATCGTGACTATAGCTATTGATGTTTCTGAAAACATGATAGGTAGTAGCCAATGAACCAAGTGGACCGATTATAAATTCCAAAACATCACGGGTTCAGCAGGCCTAATTTATTTATCATTGGTGATTCATCAATTGTGATTAAACCAAAAAATATTTTTCTCTTAAATTTGGAAGCACATATGTAAAGTGGAATTTCAGTGGCCCCATGTTTTACTTTGGTCACTAAACAGTGAGGCAAAAGAAATGGCCTTGGTGTAAATTCTAGAGCAGTTACTATGAAGTAACCAGATTCATTTTGCCAATGTTTACTTTCTGAACTCGTAAGTAAAATGGATCAGCTGTCCTGAAGACAGACTTGTGTGCCATGGCCCTGAATTTGAGAAAATACCCCACTATTAAAATTCCCCATCTAAGGGAATGGGGAGGCACAAAAATAAACAAAGCAAAAACAAACAAAAAAACCAAAGCCATTACCAATAAGTCTGCCCTCTATAAAGATAAGTAAACAGGGCAGTTCAGACACTTGGTTTCAAAATTTATCCATGTATAATTTTTTTTCCAAAAATACATACTTCTGGGAAACTCTGATAACTCTAACACACAGCAAAGAGGAGATAAAGGCACACCACTATGAAACTTTAAAACATTGATGAAATTAGCCTGCCTCTGCTTGCCTCATGCTAAACCAGATAAACTATAAAGAGAAACAACACAAATCATTAAAAGAAAAAGCACACTTGCACTTGTGGTTTTACGTCTCTGTGGTGATCGTTCTAGCATCGAGAGGTCACATTAAAAACCATCGCTCTCTTAAATACATAAGCATAGCTTACACGTTAACTCTAAAGCCATTAAGCCTTCAGATCTACTTCCTAAAGCATTCTCTACCGTCTCTGAAATAAATGTCAAACAGTGAAGGCATTGCACATCATATAAAAGACAAATAAAAAAAGTTTGAAACCTACCAATACTGGTAGCGGGTGTCATGCACAAAACTGACCCTGAAGTCATGCAATGGTGGGGAAAAGGTGAATAAAAGGGAAAGAAACAGGTTAGCGGTTTAGAGTTAACATTCAGAGTGAGATCGAAGCACAAGGAGGTTAGTTCACACAGTTTTTAGGGCCGTTCACATTGTCAGTATAGCAGATAGATCCAACTTACTTAAAAGCCAATAAGATTCCAAGCCCCACTCTCTGAGGACATGAACACCCTCCCCTTCTACTCTAGGTCGACATGATCCTAAGGAGGATGGCATGTGATGATACAACTGTATCCTTCTCTGAAGACCTCAAAGGATTCTACACACATGATCAAGTTAACCCTGTCAGGTGGAGAGTAGGTATTTTACAGATGAAAAAATCTGAGGCACAGTAACTCCTCCAAGGTCAGGTGTCAGTGTGAGCCACGGGCAAGGCCGGCAGTAGAGTTCCATGCTAAATCCAGGCCAGAGCTGATGCTCGCCAGAGTGAGCTACACTCCGGAGTGTGCCACGCGCACGACATCGAGTCTGTTTGGTGATGGAATGTGTGTTGTGTGCGATAGCAATGTGAAAAGAAGAACAGTGAGTTGAGATTTCATATCTTCTAAATCAAAGCCCTGCCAGGCAGGTCAGGAAATTCTTGAGCAACGACTTGTGTGCTAGAAATGTAGATGGAATCTTCTGGATGGAACTGCCGCACAGGTCTGGGATCTATTCTGGCTAGGAGACTCGCTGTGACAAAGGGGTGGCACATAACTGTGAAGCCTAAGTACCATATGAGCAAATGGTGGAGATCTGGGACCCTGGTGAGAGATTTTGATCATGGCCATTCCAAGGAGGCGTCTGAGGGATTGAAGAGCTAGGTAGCGGAGAGTTGGCTGGTCTCTGGGTTAGTGGGAGAAGGAGGTCAACTTCAGTGCTTCTTTGGCAAGAACTATGTTATCCGTGAACAGTCTTAATGATGTACACGTGTCATGGAATTCTGACTGAACAGCGATGCAAATCAGGAGGGCAGAAAAAGATGTACTGGGAGCTAGCTCTGAGGGATTGCCTGCCACTGGCTCTGTTCCTCAGAATGTAAACAAAGGCAATATAAGGATTCTTGGAAACTCAGGGTCATGAAGGTGTCAGAGTGGTATCCTCAAAGGAATGTAGGTGCATCTGCTGAAGGTCTCAGGACTACATGCTGAGATGTTAGACGTGAATCTGGAACTCAGTATCTTCTTCACATTCCTAAGAACTTCTTGCCTGACCTACCCTTGACCATGTTGGCATCACTGATTTAGGAAAAGACTATCCAAGCAGGCTACTGCTGGCTTCTTTCTTTCTTTTATTTATTTATTTGGGTTTTTGTTGTTGTTGCTTTTACCAGAGATGTGGCAGTACATCCAATTTGGCACACGCACCGAGACACACACACACACACACACACACGTGCTCACATGCAGCTTGCACGACCTCCTCCTCCATCCCCATCTCTCTACTTCCACAAACATCTAGAAAGTTCCCTGCATCGCACTTTAATTTCCTTGATCCCGTCTGCCCCCTCAGTCCTTCAATCCTCTTCTAGCTGGTTTCATTCTCAATCTGTTATACCTTTATCCAGTTTCTAGGATACTTTGCACTTCCCTATACCTTGCATACTAAGCAACACACACACTTCTAAAAGCTTCTGCTGAATTTTTTCCCTCTATATATGTGCTGGAGTTTTTAAGAGCCTGTCCTGGGTTCTTTTTATTTAATTTTTCCTGCTCTGTAGATCTTCTATGAGTGTCAGCTCATCCATTCCAAGGCTCTCAATGACCTCACGGCTTCCACGTTTTGTGCCCTGCCAGATCGAAAGCCTCTCTACCTAACTGTTCTCCTGTCCTCCCCACCTGGGTTCCACGAGGGTCTCCAACGGAACACGCTAAGCTCTGCTCTTTCTCACCTGGTCGCCTCCACATCTGGAAACACGTGACAGATATCATCACGCGTGCGATGCTTCAGCTCAACTCTTACGTGATGCCATTTTTGCCTCATGCTAGTCTCAGGTCCAACTCCCCGCTGAGCCAGCACGGTGCTGCTTCTGAGCAGGCGAGGACCCGTCTGCCGAGCCATGACTTTGGCTGCTCTGCAAGGTCCCTTCCACTACTAATGTCAGCTCTGCAACAGCATCCTGTCTGGCCTTCCTGCTCCTCCCTGTTCCAGGCTCTACTCTGCTGCCACAGTCACTCCACCTCTAGGAAGGCTTTGCTGCTTTGAGGATGGAGACTCTTCTAGGCCAGGCCCTGACTACCTCCCCACCGCAGCCCCCGTCCCTGGTACCAAGGTCCATCTGGATGGACCTTCATTGCTTTCAACTGAATACTTCATACTTTTAATCTAATTTTGGCCCCACCCCCAATCTAGAATACCCTTTAACCACTTTCTTTCCTCGGGTGTCAAAGCATGAGTCATGTCTTCAGAAATCATCTCATCTTAATTTCCCCATCTCCCCCAGTCACCTAAGTCAGTTTCCATCCACATTTCTATTTAACTATTTGAACTCTGCCTTTTCAGTCGTACTACGCTACATTTTAATAACCCATTTATGTTAGTGTTTAACACCTTTCTCATTCTGCTGTGGACTCAAAAAAGGCAGAGATCCCACTTAACTAGATGCATAGGGCACCTTGGGGTACCCCTGTGTTGGGGTCAATGTTCCAGCCCACTGTAAAAAGCACTTTGGGGGAAAGCTTAGTCCTGAAGGTTATTAAAGGGTCTAGTCTGTAAAATATTCCACTTTAGAGTTAACCATGTTAGGCTTCAAAGTCACTTCTGAAACAAATCCCCCTTTATTCTTCCTGTGTTCTGTAGTGATCAGGTTTTATCAAGGGCTTCCTGGGTTACACTATGTGAACCTTCAGACACTGCTCCTGCAGCTCCAGAGGGCAGTGTGTCACTCTGGCTTGTGTTCTGGTTGTGGGAGGTGCTTGACCGTGCTCCTTCACTGGGCTCCTCTCTCTGCCAGCCAAAAGTGAGGTGTACATGGGACACACGGAGCTTAGGACATGTGGACTGCTCTCTTAATGCCAGATTCTGGTTCTGCTCTGCGTTGCAAGCAGTGTCCCCACTTTTTACCTAGTTCTACCCTCTGCTATTCCCACAGATCCTGCGAGTAATGTATGCTATTACTACAGGGAATGGTGCTCTATTCTTCAAACCCACTCTTGTCATACCTGTCCAGGATGTTCTTCCCCTAACAGTGAAATCTTACCTACCCCCTTAAAGTCGTTAGCAAATTCTCCTGCTTTGGAAAATCTCCCTGTTCTGTATTGTTCATGCTAGCATCTGCTTAAGATGAACACCGTGCCTCTCACCCTTCCACCCCAGCTCAACCCTCTGTCTCGTCCTTCATACTGTAGACTCTGGTTTTTACCCAGCTCTGGGCCCCTTTACATTTTCATTGTGAGTCTGCAACTCAGACCATAACACATGCTTAAGGAATGCTTGCTGAACCGAATAGAGTCCATACGTCTTGAATTTAGACAGACGGTTTCCACTGAAGGTAAACCTTTTACAAGCGTGTGAGAAACTTTATGTAACACTTATGGTTTCTCATTATTCAGGAATGTCTGGCCTAGAACCTTCCACACGCACTCCCAATGTAATGAAGTATTTTAAGGAAGGGCCTGCCTGCACTGTCTTTATTCTGACCTGATCAGCGTTTCACCAGGATGCTGATATTCTGGATAAATTAGCATCTCAAACATGTGCTTGCTTCCTTCCTCCATTGCACAGATACTTCATCTCAAGCCTCTGTGAGCCAGAACTAGCTGAATAATTCTTAATTGTGTGTATGCCATTTTGTAGTGTAAACACAGCCTCAGTTTTTCCATCTGTAAAATGCAAATAACTTCTCGCCACTGACAGAACTGTGCTGTCTTGAAGAACAATCACAGTGTGTTCAAGAATACTTAGAGTAATTCAGAATAAACTTGCCACAAAGATGCCCAAAGCTACTTATCACATGGTTGTTTCTTAGACCATGTGTGATTCTGCCACTTTCCTATCATAGCAAGGGAAATGTATAAACTTCTTGGTTAAAATAAATCATATAAAATATTTTTTTAAAAAAGAAAGAAACAACAGAAAAAAATTCCATCCACCGTGGTTGTGGAGAAAAATTCCCATATCCTATGTCTTACATTGAAATTTAAAGCCTAGAGGCAGATTTCCTAAGGTCCAAATTCACATCTTGTCAGTGGGAGGATTTTAGTTCATATTAAAGTTTTGCTATGCATGCCCTTTCACTGTAGGTAACTATCCAAGAAGACACACATACAAAATGCTTTTGATCCATATGTATGAAAACTTCTTATGTAAAACATTAACAGAAAGATTAAAAAAACTGTTCATTGAAAATATTGGGTTGACCATCTGCTAAAAATCACCAAACAGTGTCATCACCCGATCAGCAGAGGTTTAAAAACAACCAGGGCAAATAATTATCACTGCTGTCATTTTTTATATAAAGTTGGAAACATGGTTTATAAAAAAAGATTCCCTGAAGCAGACAAGCAAGAAAGCCTACCACAGTCGTGGAGATTTTTCTGTGTAACTGGGTAAGAACTTATGCTGAATTTCTTTTAATAAAATTATCTTCCCTTCTATCACCTTCAGGGAAGTATAGTGAATCTCTTGGCAGTTCAAATACCACTCCTGTACACAAAATTCACGTGGTTATCCACTGTGATCTTTATAGCATATAGCAAGTATGCTATAAACACTTGTAATTCACAGAACTAACCTGGTTACAGTCCACCTTAGGCTCCCAAGGCTACAGAAAGTTGCCAACACAGCTGAGCTGTTCCCGGGGAATCCACCAGAGGGCGAATAGACACAGCCCAGCTAATAGGGACTATTTATCGTTACATATCCACAGCATTGGGCTAGCTTAAACTATGCTAATCAACCCCCCCCCCTTAGTAAATACTTAAGGACATCTTTACAGATCTTGGAGTAGGGACGATTTTGATGTATTAGCCAACCAGTCCATACTGGATTGGGGTATTCCACATCCTGTAAAGGGCCTCACTGGTATTCCCAGGAGACGGTAACATCTGTATTCCCGTTCTTCAGAAACAGACTTGTCTTTCATAGGTTTTCATTCAGCATTTTTTTTCTGTCTCTTAAAGTATACAATGGGCACAAGGTCTACAATGAGACGCTTGTAGTAACCATACAGGATCCTCAGGGTGAGCTGACCTTCTGGTAATTATGTTATTTCAGGTGCGTTACAATCACAACTATGGCTAAGCTAAGACAGCGTGGAATGCTATTAATTAAGGTCGCAATGGGGTAAGATATGAAAGTATTTTAATATAGATCCAGAACTCATGTACTTTCTGACAGTGCATTTCTATTAATATAGATTTTCTCAGTTACTAATTCATTTAAAATGCTAATTCATATAGGTTACCATTCATTTATAGTTTTTATACAAAAACTTACTGGAATAAAAACTAGCTACCTCCTAAACTAGCGTATCCTAATGCTCACAGACTATGGACTATTAAGATTAATATATCTAATCACATTGATAATTAATGGCAATGTCTCCTTGCTGCGATGGGACAAAGAATATGGGCTTGGGAAAACCCGGTGGATGTTCTTTCCAACAAGGTTTTAGTCACAGAGACTAAAAGGTCAAGCGAGGAGGGCCATGTTCGTGAGGGTGTGTGTGTGGGCGTGTGCGGAGGCGTGTGCATGTGGCTGTGTCTGCCATCTCTGAACTGGGCAAACTATGGCAGGCGGGGAGGGGAGTCAGGATGGGTAAGTGTTACGTTGTTTTTCTTCACGTGAGTTATTTTTCAAGCCACTTCAAAAACAAAACCCCACTTGAATCTGATTTCGGGGAGAAGTCTGTAGACTCCCCGTGGGGGCCAGTGGCGGTGCTGTAATGTTGTGTAAACGGACCAGGTACTGGAACACCAGCCTGGCGTTTGTGTCAGCTCTGCCACCTTGGAAAGTCACTTCGCATTATCCTGGGGGCCTCAGTTTTCTCATCTGTAAAACAGTCCACTGGATGAGGAATTCATGAAGACCCTTCTGCCCGTGAGACCCTGTGGTTAACAGACGGTCTCCAGCGAGTGGTAGGCTAAGGGGCTGTAGCCCCTCCTCTCATCACTCATTGGCTTAGAAACGGAGGACGAGCACTCCAGATAGCTGTGAACTTGGTGAGAGTGGAGAAGGATGAAGAGAGAGATAGAATGGATATAAAAATACGAGCAGAAGATTTCATTTGAGTAGCCTTAGACTTTTTAGTGCTCTGAATAGAAGGGAAAAAATGGTTAGTATTTACTGGAATTTATATTTTTAGGTCATTGAGTGTTAAGGACAAATTTCAATTATCTCGTATATATAAAAAAAATCTTGCTTACATAAACTACTTTGCAGAGCTTGTGTAAATAGAAGAGACCCAAAGCTTTGACCCGATCCCTGTCTCTCAAGCTAAATCCCACCAAACACTTGGCTTTAGAACGCTAACTGCCTTCAGTTATCAAAGCAAGGTCAACAGGTCTAGGTAGCCAGGGCTGTGGTGGGCCAGGCTGTATTTGCACCTTCTAAATGCAAACTAGATGCTACCAAACAGCTTAAAGAGATGAGAAGGAAGCACATGACCGGAAGGACACAGGACACAGACATGGAGAGTAAGGGCACGTACCTGTAGGAATAAACGCCGTGTGCTGCTGCAACTGTGCACTGGTTAGAGCCTGCTGGTAGTGCAAGACGCTGGGGTTGAAGACCGTGCTGGCTCCATTGCTTTTTTCAAGTGCTTGTCTCTTTGGTAAAGGATGGAGAGCACCAGGAGGGAAGGCCTGGAAGTGAAGAATTCGATACGATGTGTCCAACTTAAAGCAAGCCTGTGTTCCACGTCCACAGAGATCATCAACTGCAACATTCTTTTTTTTTTTCTCTTTCTTTCTTTAAAAAAAATGACAGCTAAAGAGATGCCTCTGCCATGCACCTTAATTTAAACAGCGGCAATGTCGAATGAGTGAGAATTTGTTATTGAGAGCGGAAGCATGAATTCTGTAACCCAAAAAGAGTAGCATCTCAACTAAGGAAAAGAAAAACTATCAAGCAACAACAATGGAAAAATGGCTTCAGCTTTAAAAACTACACTAAGGGAGAGAAAGGAGCGTTTGCGTTATTATTAATATCTATTCCTTAACTGAATGGCAGTCTCTTGAATTTAAAGGTTAATAAGAATTACAATGAACATCTTTTTCTGAGTCACATGTTTTAAATTTGCTTCACTCTTTTGGAAAAGGTATTATTAAAATTTTGTTAGATTTAATATTTATTTCTCAGATTACATATGCAAATGAGATGACTAAACACTTATTGAATTCCTCCATTTTAAAATTAATAATAATGATTGGCTGCAACCAGTATTTTACATACAAATCTCAGCTGGTTCTCTGAAAAGCTACATGCAAAGCGAAAGGTGAAAGGTCAAAGTACCAGGTCTACAGTTGCTTCGAGAGGTCGCTTCAGTGCTTTGGCAGTCGACTGAGTCTTTTAATAACAGGCAGCGAGCACATGATGGCAGTGGGCCAATGGGATTCAAGCGAATTAACATACAGGTAAACAGCAAGCAGAGGTGCATCATGGGAACGGCATTGCATTGTGGATAGGTGAGAAGGAAAAAAATATTCTGAATGCAATATACAACGTACAAAACACTAGGCATGCATAACAACAAAAATGTTCTCTAAAGAAATGAATATTACACCTTAAATTAGTATCGAAGCAAAAAACGCATCTACTATACCTTAGTTAAAAGCATATAAGAGAGTAAAATATAGATGTTTGAAATTCAGGAAAGTTAATTAAAACAGCAGCTCGCATACACACCATAAGCACTTTTTAATATTGCTTCGGGGCGGGGGGGGGGAATGCAAAACTTTTAAGGACCGTAGGGCTGGAGAACATCTGATAAGTTAGTTCCGATACAAAATAATGAAGAAATCAAGTACATCCCAATTTTAAAAAAATGTTTTTTTTCACTTAGCTATGTTTTGATTCAGATTAACCTAACAAAATGAAGTGGCAAACTGAGACAGAAAAAAAATTCAGTCAAAAAATATTCAAACACAAGGTTATTTACGCAAAACAGTTTGGGTTTGGGTCATTATTTTTTGGCTGAATCACCTGGGAGGTTGCCTCAGGTCCTGCCTTCATTCTGCTAGGGTGGGTCCCAGACCTCGGACAGTTCGAATTTAAACAGGAACTTTCCCAGCGTTTCACTTTTACTCTGCTTCATTTCTCAATACTAACTTATCATCCGTTCTGTTTCTACCAGATTTGAAATGATAATTTATTTCAAACAACTTACCGGATTATACTAAGAAAATACCCTTTAAAAAGGCATTTCACGTCCTTGGATATTAAAATGATCTTTAGTAGTACTATCTGTACTTTTAGCTAGATCAGGGGTTAACCAGTTGATGACAAGTGGGACTTTCACTAGAACAGCTAAAATGGCAGAACGCTGCCTTCAGACAAGCGGAGTGCTGCCTTCAACTTACAACCACACTTCTAGGAAGATAGCTTCATTTGGAACCAAGGTAGTATTGGATATGGACTGATTTAGACCTCAATGCAAAAAAAAAAAAAAATCTCTTCTTTTTGGTTGTTAAAAGGTGGGAAAATTCTATGATAGGATTCTGTGGAAGTAAAGAAGTCCAGGAAGCAGTTTCAGTGCAAATGGGAACAATGACCATCCCCCTTTGATGGTTACACAATAGGTAAATCCCCAAGGTTTGTCTGACAGAATTCAGTCTGAAGTTCTGTGGGAGAAAGGTAGTGTTTGAAACAAACAGAGACGGTGCTCTGCCCTCAAGACGGGAACAGTTAATGCTATTTTCCCTAGCAAATGTAGGGTTGCTCATCATTCCACGATTCAGGATTTCAAAAAAAAAATGTGAGGGGAGAGCTTAGGAGTCGAGGACCTTGGAGAAAGAGACTAGAAATAAAATTGAAAGAATTGTAGGCACAGAAACCCCAACAGGGACTAGATTGTTTTAGAAAGTAGTTTTGATAAAGGTCATTGAATAATAGGAAACTGATTAAAAACAAATGGAATATTGAAAGCAAAAACAGCCCAATCTCTTAGGTATTTCTTTTTGTTTTGTTTTTGAGACAAAGTCTCACTTTTTAGCCCAGATTGGCCTTGGACTCACAGCAATCCTCCTGCATCAACCCTCCAGAATGCTAGGATTAGAAGCTCGGACCACAGTGCTAAGCAATTCCTGGATATTATTAAATGTAAGTTCAGTAAACTTCCATAACTCCATTCTGCTTAAAATCTTTCCCCTCTATACAGTTTCCCATGGTTAACTAATGCAGGGTCTGCTTGATTTCATTCATGTATGTGTGTGCACCTCTACACAAATGCAAGATGGCACATGAGGGGTGGCGGAGGATGATTTGTGGGAGACAGTCATCCTCCCACTGTGTGGGTCCCGGGAACTGATCTCAGGTTATCAGGGAGCAAATGACCACTCACTGGGCCTTCCCGCTGGCCCTCACAGGCTTGTGGTTTTTGAGTCTCAACTAATCGTGTTTCACTGAAGAGGGCTCCATGGTTGCTCTCGTAGGTCACACTGCAATGCTACCGCAGGCAGAGCCCAAAGTCATTCTGTCCTTAACCTTCAGTCTCAAGTTTCCCACTTTTCTAGCCCTTGGGATTTAGCAAACAAATTTCCTAGTGGGTGGGTCTTTTTTGACTTGCCTTTTAGAAGAGTCTCTAAAGGCTGGTGTACAGCAACAGCATTTTAATGCAACAGAGCATCCTTTAGTGAGTTTTCCAAGCAGAATAAGTACTGCTAGGTATTTCTTTTTACGGCAGTCATAAGGATGTTTAATGGTCTGTTTTGTTGTTGTTGTTGTTTTCTTTTAGGTTGTTAAAACCTGATCTTTACACTTTAAAGTAACTTAGGAGCTAGTGTAAAGTAAGAATAGTGAGATTTCTCTCTTTTCCACTGCACAGTGTATTTCTATTAGATGCAATTCTCTTGTAAGATACAATGAGATTTTGTATGAAGTATGAAGGGTTTCATACATATCAAGGCTTTATATAATGCACATACAGCACACACATAGACTGTTTTTAAGAAGCCTGTGTAGATAAATAATTACCTCACCACAGCCTTTGCTGGCACAGAGCTACCGCACCAGGTGAGAATGCCCGCACTGAACGTTCGTTCACCTGCAGTGAGCGACTGACCTGCAGGCTCAGACCTCAGCTCAGGGACGGAGCAGTCCTTTGTGTGGTGGGAGCCTGTTTGGCACCAGTGCAAGAAAAGGCAGTTTAACCAGAACCCTACTGCACGCCAGATACTTGGGCTCTTTTCTTGCTGGCCTTGTCTCTATTCCTGACCCTCTACCGCCTAGGTCTGAACGGACGGACACAGGGGATGAGACTTTATGAGAAGCTGAGATTTCTTTTTCACAGTCAAGGCACCATCACACTGCAGGTCAAGGTGAGAACAACTGTCCATGCCAGCATCCGAGGTGAGGACCAGAGAAGTCAGGAGAGCCAGGGGAAACAATCAGAAGTGCTGGTTTACTGGTCATAAGATGAGTCAGACAGAAGCGTGGGCTCGGAGTTCCGGTGAGTGTTTTCCGCAACAACTGAAACTTATCTGGCTGACGGCAGCTTGTCCTGTTACCACTTCTTTCCATCGCCCTCCATCTTGGTTTATGTGAACAAAGACTACACGTGAAGATCAAATATTCTTTGTGTTAAAACTACCAAAGGGTACCTCCAACGAGCTCACTCTCAGGTCTGAAAAATTGTCATGAGTGAGATGCTCATATTTTAAGAGGTATTACAAAAGAGTAAGGCTCAAATGGAGAGAAATGCCTCTCTTTTCAAGATTCGGAGCTTTGCATTCTTTCTTAATGCCTGACTATTTAAAATAAAAGGGAAGATCCCTGGGCAGTAATAAGAACCTACACCATAGAAGTGTGCCATCTTCAGCTAAGGAAGTCGGCTGAATGGAATGTTAACATTTTCAGTTGCACCCAGCTCTCCATTTGTCCTCTAAATAAGGAAATAGAATAATAGACTTTCTGCACTGTTCTGGCTAATCTTGCCTGTTCGGTTCATCAAACCTAGGCTGGTTTCAAATAAGCCCTTCACATTAACTCTAAAGACATGACAGATTCAGTAATCTTCCCATCACTGTCACAAGGGAGCTGGCATTGTTCTGAAACTACATTGCTTTCCGTCGCCTCCGAAGATGCTTCGAAATCCTGTGACTGCTCAGCACTCCAAATTTGGGCACAGTGTAACAATCCAAGAAACTATGGTAACTGACTCTCGCAGCATCTACTGCAGTAACCTTCCTGCATTCTGATGAGCTTACGTGAGAATGTGGAGGAGGGCCGGTGGCAGAGCTCAGCTGTGGCTTCACACTGTGGGGCTTTGGGGAAATGGACACTTCTGCTCATGTCTCCACCACCCTGAGTCACCTACCGCTGACTATGTCGGTACACTGCCCCTTCTGGACTGGATTTGGTATTGATTGTGTGTACTGGAACTCAGACTTCTAGCATGACAAAGTCAGGGCTGAGCATGGTAGTCACCCTGACTACTGGGTTTTTAATCTCCTCAGGTACTTGAGTGAGAGGGACAAACATTTCCAGATTCATCTCCAGAGCTCATCATGTGAAAGACAGCCACTGTGACCCAGGGTAATCGGCTCCTATCACTTTGACCATAGAGATATAGCCACAAAGACAAATGGCAATGATTTCTCCCTTAATTAGAACCTCTGTTGAAACATTGTTTCCTCTCTCATCAGGTGTAAGGACGTATCCCTACAGATGGCTGTGTCTTTGGGAAAGGCTGACCTCAGTGAGTAGAAGTGACAAGCCAATGGGGATGGAAGGGAGAAAGGGGAGACAGACCTGGTAGCCACCCCCAGCATTCCCAAGCCGTCTTTCTCTCTTCCTTGAAGGTGTTACATGATGCAGAAAAGTCAACTTGGCCAGCTAAGCAACTGTCTCCATAGCAGAGTCCTGGTTAGGCCAAGGAGTGCCCTAAGTCCGAGTATGGCTTATAAAATGAATGCCATGCAGGAACCTTGCTGGCCAAGAATCAAATCGAAGAGTGGTAAATTGGGGTTGGTCTGAAAAACTGACTACAGAGAAGACTCTCACTGAGTAAGACATTCACTAAGTAGATGGAAACCGAGTCCTCTACACTCACAGACTTAAAGGACTTATTTTCTCTAAAGACAATTCACTTTCATATAGGTTGAATTATGTGTTTTTATCTTTGCATACTTCTCCCTTGTTCTCAAGTATACTGAGGTTTAGGGTTTTACTTCCACTAAACCCTTAATGGGAACACTTCCCTCTCATGTGGATGCATTTGGTCCCACGTGTAAAGGAATGGAGAGATTGAGTGTAATGTCTGAAAACTTTCAAAGGACACAGGACACTTGAGAGATAGTCTGAACCATTTGCAGTGCTTGTGGAGACCAGAAGAGGGCGCTGGGTGTCCTAGTACCAGAGTTAGAGACGGTTGTGAATCATGTGGGTGCTTAGGATAGAACTTGGGTCCTCTGGAAGAGCAGCCAGTGCTCTTAACCACTGAGCCATCTCTCAAGCACCTTGACTATGCTTTTAGGTGCCTTTCATCTCTGTATTACTATCTATTCTTGCCCAGGGCCGATTGGCCTCTGTGTCCTTCCTTCTCCCACTCAGAGCCCCTGGAGCCCACCATACTTCCCATCCTGTGGCTGACAAGCAGGTGCTTGAGGGCTGGCAGGCTCTAAATGGGTTCTATGAGTGGATGCGATGTGCCCACTGGACATTTAAAGACTTCTGACCAGCCAGATGTCTCGCTTTAAAGTAAAGTCATTAGAAATGTCTGCAACCTAATGCCCAGGTTCTCAGCTGTGGGTATGCACTGGAGTTGAGTCACCCGAAAGATTCAGAGGGCCCAGGGCCTGGCCCCTGCCCAAACCATAGCACTCCACCAAGCTGCTGTGCGGTTAGGCAAAGCCTTTCCGAACCCTTCAGTTGATTCCTAAATACACCCAAGCTTGAGGAGTGGTCTGGTCATGTGACTCTCAAATGTCAACATGCATACACAACATCTGGGAAGTTGTAAATGGTGTGTGTGTGTGTGTGCGTGTGTGTGTGGATGTGTGTGTGTGTGTCTGTGGATGTGTATTTGCTAGGAGTCAGAACCTGCCCCCGCCCCCCAAGCTGGAGTTTTAGCTGTTGTGAGCCACCTAATGTGAGTGCTGGAAGCCAACCCCAGTCTTCCCAAGGACTGTCCACACTTAACCACTGAGCTATCTTTCCAGGCCCTAACTGGGAATTTATTTTTTAAAAATTAAACTTCTGACCCCGAGACTCTAGGTGAGACTCAGATTCTGGTGTCTTCATAGGCTCCCAGGTGATCAAAATGACAATGCTTCCTGGGCCAAGGGGGCAGCTGGAGGCTGTGAGATTCAGGAGTGATAGCAGCATTGGTTCCTGAGGGACAGTGAGGAGAATTAAAGGGCTAGCCTGGGTTATAGGTCTTTTACTTCGTTTGTTTTAGCGCCAGATAGCTCAATTCCATTTCATCCTTCCCTGAGTTGTTGCTGTGCTTGAAATCTCGGTGTTGTTGGCAGGCAGCACAGCCAAGAGGAAATGGGAGGAGAAGCTAGTGACTGACAGGGCCACTGGTTGCTGGGCATCTTTGAAGGTCACCCCCTTTTCCCCAAACTGACTTCAGCAGTGGGATGTACCACTTGCTTTGTCTGCTTTCTGAGTTTCTGCCTGTCTCCTGGTTCACTGCAGTGAGGACCTGGGAGGCTGAGAGGCCAGATTGCAGAGGGGACAGAGCTCACAGCCCGGGTTCCCTGCACCTTGGGGATTTAGTTATTGTGAAGGGAAGGAAGGGCAAAACAGAACAAAACAAGAAGGGGTGGGGGATGACAACAGAGCTTAGGCAGCGGAGCAGCGGGAATGGCAGCCTTGTCTCCCAGCTGTCCGAGGCACAGCTCCTCCCCACCCGCAAGCACCACCCGCGGCCTGGGAGGCGCAGCGGTGCGGGCGCGGCCCGCGCACTTACCATGACTGTGGCCGCGGCCGCGGCTGCCTGGGCGGCCACCGCGGCCTGGTTGGCTTGGTGCTGCGCAGCTTTGATTTTGGCCTGCAAGTGTGCAGGAGGGTGAAAATATTTGCATTTCTCCCTCATGCAACGCCCCTTTATGTAATCCATACAAACGGTTACGGTGTTGTCGTTTGTGTCGATCATGGTGCTGTCTGCCGGGTGTGCAAAGCGGCAGTCTGTCTCTCCCCGGGCACAGTTTCCTCGCTGGAACTCCCTGCATACCTGAGACAACGGGAAAGAGCAGAGCGCTGCAGAAGAAAGCCTGGTGGCCACCACCGCGCCAACGGAGGGGACGGTGGGGGAGACGACCAGGAGCAGGGGGAGGAGGTGGAGGAGGAGGAGGAGGAGGAGGAGGAGGAGGGAGGCGATGAGGAAGGAGGATAAGGAGTCCCTTCATGGTATCTTTAGGTTCAGAGGGTAAAACTGTTATGATCTAGAACCCAAGTTACCAGAATTGCTAAAGAATTAATTTTGGTTTTGTTTTGCCCCCTTTTCTAGGGTGAACATCGAAATGGAGAAATCAATCTGAAATCTGTTCTTTACCTAAAACAGCAAAGGAAGAATGATTGAACAATGACACCACTGTTCCTGCGAAGTATAGCATATTTGTTTCCATTACTTACTTATGTCTTTGAGTGCCTGTGTGGAAACAGTTTTACAACACAGCATACATCTACCCATCATACAGGACGCATCTATGTGTGTGCATGTGTCTATCAATGAATCAATGAATCAATCATCTATTGATTGTCTTCCTGCCTTCCTTTTTACTATGCTTATGTGGCCACAGTTATGTAATTCACACACACACACCATCTTTTCATTTATTTTTCTTCTGTCCCCTCCATCCCCCTTTCTTCCCTTTTGGTTCTCTGTAGTCACTCTATCTACCTATGTCGTCTTACAATGTTTATGTGCTGGTGTTCTCTCTCTCTCTCTCTCTCTCTCTCTCTCTCTCTCTCTCTCTCTCTCAGTACCCCCTACTCCAATAATACCTCTGGGGTGCTATGTACTCCTGGTACAGAGCATGGTTAGGTTGTACACAAGCTACCTCTCTGAGGATGGGGGCAAAGCTCCTGACTGAAGATTCCTGAACACACCCCCCCCATTCTACAAAGGTATCACAGGTAGAGTCACCAATCACAGGACATCACTTAACACTTGCGACATCATCGTTTTAAACTCGCTGTAGTATTTTTGATCACTCCCAAAGAAGAATAAAGATGAGAGAGAGAGAGAGAGAGAGAGAGAGAGAGAGAGAGAGGAAAAATATAGTAAGAGGAAAAAAATGAAAACAAACAGAAGGAACAGAGAAGTTAGAAGCGTTGATCTCAAACAACTGGACCTCTCTATCCTCTGATCCCTGCAGTGAGCTAAGACTTTACTATATAGCTACATTCTGTAGACATCGCGTACTCTTCATTCTAGATGGTATAAAATAAAAAAAGCCTACATATATTACTTATATAATTCATCCTGATATAAATATCAGCAGGAAAGAGCCCAGAGAATTGTGGAGTTGCTTCTCCTGGGCTCCAGTCCCATAGCTAGTAAATGTAAGCATTGGTTTGTTTCCTGATCACCAGTGCTGAAGGGACAGAGATATGAAGGTCAAGTCTGTGAGAGTCTGTCATTTCTGAGAAAGTACTTCACTGACCTATGGCTAAGCCAAGGTGACAGGTATATAGTCTGAATCTCAGAGTTGTTCCCAATTTTTTCCTGTTTGGGTACTGGCCAATGTCTCACCATCAGTTACAAATATTTCTAAACTAAAATCTATTCAGATATTCATCTAGGTTCTGGTTTTGCTCATTCTGTTTTTCAACAGAATCTCTTGGAGCCAAGGCTAGCTTCAGAGTCACCATGTAGCAGAGGCTGGCCTCAAACTACCAATCCCCAAGCCTCTGCTGGGCAGTGGTGGTGCACACCTTTAATCCCAGCACTTGGGAGGCAGAGACAGGCAGATTTCTGAGTTCGAGGCCAGTCTGGTCTACAGAGTGATTTCCAGGACAGCCAGGGCTACACAGAGAAACCCTGTCTCAAAAAACCAAAAACCAAAAAAACAAAAAACAAAACAAAACAAAAAACCCCAAAAATTCAAAAACAAAAAACACCTCCTCCTCCCCCACAAAAAAAAAAAACAAAAAAAACAAACCCAATCCCCAAGCCTCTGCCTCCCAAGTGCTGGCTCACCACATCCAGGTTATCGAAGCTCTGAGTCCTGCCTGTCTGACCCTATCAGCTATAACTGGAGTTCACAGATGTCCTGTGTGCAGCCAGTGTCCTTCCTGGTATGGAATAGTCAAAGACTGGTCTGTTAAGGTCATCTGTGAGTCACAGGTACCTTGTATACCAGTCCTGTAGAAAAGACCTCTAGTTCCCAATCTTTCTCATTTCATTTGGTTTTTGCTGTCATAGCCTGAGCACCTACGCTCCCTCAGCCCCAGCAGGGGGAGGCCAAAACACTTCCATTCTTAGAATAGGTCTCAGTTATCCTAGGCTAGCCTACAGTTTCCCAAACATTAGTGACTGGTTTATAGTCTCTTCATCTAAAGATCCATATACTCTGGATAAACTCAGTGGAAAAAAAAATGTAGTTTTGAAAATATTTGTAGTTTGACATCCTGAATTCTAAAACATTCGCCAGGGGCCAAGCAGTAAACATTTCTTGCCCCCAAGATATATCTGGTTAGTTTTTAAATGAATGCACACTGGAAGAATGTTCCTTAGCAGGTCTGTATTCTAAGCATACAGAGATTACCTAACAATTCTCATCAATAATGGGGCTAAAGAAAGCCTTTCAGAAATCTATCGGAATCGTTACATAACCGTATGAAACGCCCCATTGTCTATCGCAGGGATAGTGGAGCAAGACTGATAGGAAAGCCCTTGGCTCTGATTAAAGAAAAATTTTATTCAACATAGTCTGGGATGATTTGCCTGATCCAAGTGTGAAAGTATATGTAAAGTGTAAAAATACATGCACTTAATCCTTTTGTTTTGTTTTTGTTTTTCGAGACAGGGTCTCTCTGTGTAGCCCTGGCTGTCCTGGAACTCACTCTGTAGACCAGGCTGGCCTCGAACTCAGAAATCCGCCTGCCTCTGCCTCCCAAGCGCTGGGATTAGCTCCACCACCGCCCGGCAATCCTTGTGAATATTATAGAACATTCAGATTTAAAGACAACCAAATTGACTCGGGTTATACTTTCTGCTGTTTACCAATAAAGCTGTTAAGTAAGACACACAACAGCATCCATACTTGATTCATATAACTGTTGGGGGCTCAAGTTCTGTTTACTTTGTCGAAGTGCTTCCATTTCCCTGACCTTTTGGGCTTCTGACCATTTCCAGAACTTTCTGGAGTCCACTAAAAGCTATCGCTGCTGAGCACAGCACGTAAGACCAAGAGCTAACTCTATGGCTTACATCCTGATGACGAGCACAGCACGTAAGACCAAGAGCTAACTCTGTGGCTTACATCCTGATGACGTCTATATTCTATTGGTGGATATTTATTTAGTGTTTCGAGACAGGGTCTCACTCTGTAGCCCACAGTGACCAGGAACTTCTCTGTAGCCTGCTCTGGCCTTGAACTTGTGGCAAGCTCCCCACACCAGCTCCCTGGTGCTGTGGTTATAGACACAAGCCACCATGTCTAACTTAATGTTTTAGTCTTACACATAAAACCTAAGCATTTGATTTTTGTTTATATCAAAGCTGTTCTTTGTCTCTGGGTTAATTTCCTTTATACGAGACATTAAGTTTATAGCACGGAATCGCGGGTACGTGGGACTGCAGCGATGTGTGCACGCACATGGACTTTCTACAGGATGAAGTTATTTGACAAGCATCTATCCACTCTCACAGACACACACACTTCTATCATCAACGCATCTCCAAACGCAAACATAATTGAAATACCTCCAGCTTATCAGTCCTGAGAAGTTTCTGAGTTGCAGTTGAGCCCGGGACAGTGACCGGTGGACTTCCGGGAACAATGACAGGTGTAGTGGGTAGAACCTCTGTTGGGACTAAGCCAACTCCAGGGGTGACAGGCGCTAAGTAAGGAGCAAAGCTAATGGCCGCATTTGTCCCTATGGTGGGACCTACAGGAAACGTGGGCTGTCGAAGGAGAACACAGGAAACACTCTTTTAGTGCAGAACTTACCAGCAAGCGTCATTTGAGCAAGAATTCACACAGTCACTAGTAAATGCTGACAGAAATGTACCCACTGCCTAGAGTATCCTTCATGTCAGTTCTACAGTTCAACTCTGAATTGCAAATTTCATTAATCACTCTCTCTTTTGTTTTTCTTTTGCTCCTCAGAAATGAAAACATCACAGAGCCCAAACCATATAAACGTATCGGAGAGCATCAGGGAAACCCAATGCCGAGGAACGGGTTAAACAGAGTCTTCTGTAAAAATGCTCTCAACAACTGAAAATACTCATTTCCGCCCAAATTACCTATCATTCCAAACTACTCAGTGTTCTAATCTCAAGGCAGTAAGACCTACAGAACATAGACTGGTCATCTATGCATTTTCCTATAGGTCTCTACAAGGCACATAAATATATATGATTATAGCTGATATTCAAGTTGGCTAAATTCACATTTTCAAGCAGTGGAGCTTCCTTGAGAATTATCTTGCTCAGACGTATCAACATGTTTCAGCCTTTCATCACTAACATGTGCATTCCCAACACAGAGGCAGTTTTCATGTGGACCTACTATGTGCTGCTCTGCCCTACTATGTGCCAATATATCCTTTCATTCTTGAAAGGCTAGATGGGAGAGCTTGTGATTTCAACCAACCAGTTTCACACATGACTGATGAAACTCAGTTTTATTTCCTGGCCACTCAATCAGAAAAGCCATGATAAGCACATCTGGTCCCTAGTTAAATCTGTTTTTTATTTATCACAACAGTCTTGGCTAAGAATAATCATACCATGGGCTGATACAATAATTATTTTTAAGAGTTTCATCTAATCAGTATCTAAATAAGACTGCCTTTCTGAAAAGATATGTACACTTAGACAACAACCTTGTTTCACATTTATTCATTTAAACACAGTCTCAATAGACATTCCAGGATAGATGGTAGCTAGTTCTACAGCTCATGCTGGCCCCAAACTCAGATGGCCTCCTGCCTCCGTCTTTGGAGTACAGGGGTTATGGTGTGTACCCATGCAGACCCTGCATTTTCACCTGTGAAAAATCATGTTTAACATGTTTCCAAAGATTTTCCCAAGAATAAACTGTCTACGGAACTGGTCCTAACAGCTCTCTGTTTAATTTTCATTTACAGATTTTTTTCTCTTTTTTTGAGGACTTGAACCTAACGTCTCATACAAAATAGGCAAGTACTGTTCCGATGGGCTCCATCCCCAGGTGCACAAACAATTTTTAACCTATTTTTTTCCACGGTAAGTTTTCAAATATCCCCAGTCACATCATAACGTGACTTTGCAGCACTGACCTACCCCGTTGACACGTGCCATAATATTTCTCTGTCTTTACACCTCGGGTAATGTTCTTATTGTCTGTTCAGACTCCAGATGAGCTGTTTAACACAGGGGGAAGCTAACAGTCTGCATTAGTAACGCGTTTTCCTTTAGGACAACGGAGCAAGGACCACGTTGGGAGACAGCAAAGCAGAGATTTCTAGAGAGGCTGCGAGACCTTCACAGACGTGGCCGAGCGGCCGAGAGCTGAAGGAGGGTGATGCTAACAGACTCAGAGGAAATCTGGGTAGTTCTCTGATGAGAACTTATATCTTTATGGTTCAGAAATGATGTTTGCTTTGGGAGAAACTGCGACACGAATGCTGTGCACTGGAAAGCACTGGAAAGGGACAGCGGCTTGGTATGTTTTCTTCTATAAAATTTTCCATGGACGGGATGGATGTGATCTGTTACCCGCCAGAGTCCTGAGTATAGAACGCTGCGGCTTTTTAGTAACTGTCACTTTGGCAATTCGGTACTATTGACAAAAATCGAGTAACTTAATAGCATAAGGACCACGTTACGCTAGGATTAAAAATATCAACCACGAAAGGCCCACACACATCAGCCGCTCAATGGCCGCATTGTACCTGCACTGCCTCGGCTGGGGTGGAGTTTAAAGTGGTAAACGCTGGTGCAATACATGAGTCTTGGCAGGAACCCTGAAAGTCTCATTTAAAAGACTTACTATGTGAGGACTGTGCAGCCAAATCTGGGGACCACTCTCGTAAATGAGGAATGAAAACGGTGCTGTATTTGTACCGCATGATTCAATTCAGAGAGGAATTAACAAAGCAAGTATTTAGAAAAAGAGAACTTCCACGCACATCTCCAATTTGATTTTTATGGCTGATTTCTTATTTTTATTTTTGTCTATCTATCTATCTATCTATCTATCTATCTATCTACAAACATGTGTGCATGCGCCTGTGCCTGTGCCTGTGTATGCCATGTGTGTCTAAAGGTACCTATGAGGCCAGAGAGGGAATCAGATCCCTCTGGGACACTCCAGTGCCCGACGTTGGGAGCTGCCCAACATGGATGCTAGGAAGGAAGCTTGGGTCCCTTGAGAAACCAGCAAGCGCAGCAAACACTTTCAACTGCTGAGCCATCTCTCTAGTCCTCCCCCCCCCCCCGGCTTCTCTCTCTGTCTTAATGCATGCAGATTCCCAGCCCTCTCTTACCACAGATGAGCATCGTGTTGTTACTGCACATCGACCTGTGACTATCCATGAGGGCCTCAAGAAGTGTTTTACAAAGTCACTTTTGGTACCAACAAATTTATTCTGATAAAACACCAAATTGGTCCTTCAAGACTATGTTGATTGTTCATCCTATGTAAGGTCCTGAACTATATTCAGTGTGCACTATGGGTGACAGCAGTAACATTCCACTAAGACACAGTGCCATTAACAACAACAACAGATAGCTGTCAGATGTAGAGAAAACTATGTTCAAATCCAGTCCATTCCCACTTAGTCTTATTTCCTGAAGAGAAATTAAGTTCTTTGGGTTTTAGAGTTTCTCAACTGCAGCAGACAATTAAAATCACTTGAAAGATAAGCTAAACAAATGTCTCTTCCTCTTCTGTTCCCCACTGTCCAAACTGAACCAGTAGCTGCTGTCACTAGTAACATAAGTATTCATATCATTACAGTCTTTGCCTCGAGTTGGTGTTTCTCTAGCATGACTATAATCAGCACAGCCACAAACTCAACAAATGTAAAAAAAATGGAATTTAACTGTTGCGAATATCTCGTCTTCCGTTTTTAAAATGTGTGTTGGAAAAAGACTTCACGTCTTGGGAAACTCCAGTGTTTAGAGTTCATAGGCCTCCTGATGACAGACTCAATTAGACATTAGCCCGTTATCTTTTTTTACACAGAGTCCTTCACGAAAGTTGATGAGTGAAAACAAAGGCTCTTAAGGTCATGTACTGACATGTGTATTCTCTACTAGTAGTGTGACAGACCATAATACTTTACATCTGTGAACAGTTCTTGCACATTCAAAGCATTGTCACACACTTCAATGTCTTTAGTCTTCTCAAACTAAACCACGAGAAGCAGGCCTAACAGGGGAGTCATGATTGCAAGAGAGCTGGTCAAAGGGCAGCTCCTGAGAGGCAAAGTCAGAGCAAAGTCAGAGCAAAGGCTCCGGACTCCTAGCTCGCAGTGTGGGCTGCCAGACACTCTGGTGTGGTCCACAGATCCTGTCAGTAATTTCCTAGAACAGAGGACGGAGGGAAGGCCTGGAATCAACACACCACATCCACATGTCTTTTAGCATAGACAGAAAGCACTGTGTGTCCTTCCGCTGGCTCGTGTCTTTCTTCTATGGAGAGGATACGTCAGTCTGCCCTGACTAGTTGTATCAGTTCTTGTTGCCTAGGAAGACCAGCTCTGAGAACCCGGATTAAAATGAAATGCCTGAGTTAGAGTCTATATCGGCCATGGATCACGGCGTCTGAGATCAGTTTTCCACAGGCAACTGAGACCGGAGTATTGAGGTCACTCTGGGGAACTCCACTCTTAGAGACACACCAGATCCAGCCTCGATGACAAGCTTCTAGTTTTTGCATGGCACTGCTACCAAGAAGTCCAAGACACTGTCCATTTGGTGCCTGTCAGCTCTCAGTGCTAATACACAGCTGAAGAGGCCCAAGGGTAAGATCCACAGAAAGCATGCTTGAAGAAAATCTCTTCCGAAGGGCTAGTCTTCTTACTTTCTCCCTCTGACCTCCCTCCAGATTCCTGCTTTCCTCCCTTTTATTTTCCTAGCACAGTACACCAGAAGTTCTGATGTAGACAGAGGGTGGAAAGTGGAATTCACAGGACTTTATGGGATACAGTGACATGGGGGACATTTGAGGTCCCACCTTAGGTACTGGGGGTGGGCAAAAGGGGAAAAAGAAAAAAGGGCGGGGGGGAAAGAGAGGTGATGTAGGGGTGAAGGGTGGAGGGGGAATCAGCCAAAGTGAAATGCAAACGGAAACGCTTGCTTTCTAAGCTAAATATAAGACCGAGGAAGTTATAAGATCCTGTTTATGCTTTAAAAAACCCCCCCCAACACACACCTTGATGCTTACACAGGAGACCCTGGAAGACAGCAAGAGGTGAGATCAAGACTTGGATGAAGGTGACAGAAAGTAGAGATGGGGACAACGCTGAAGGCAGACAGGGTGGGATCTTCGATGACCTGCACAGCAAAGGAGGAGTCACTCTGCTGGGCTCTGCTTGACGCTGTTGGTTGATGGCTCCATGTACTGAGGCAGGAATGTAGTGGAATCAAGACTTTACTCTTGACTATTTTCTTGCAGGAGAATTTGAGGTGGGGTTATACAGAGGCAGTGCTATGAGCCTGGGGAGATGTTTGCACAAGGAACACGCATTTGGGTTCTTAGTCTGCAAAAAAAATTTATGGTTTTTGGAATGGATTAGGTTACTAAAAAGAGGGTAAACAGAAAGAAATATTCATTCTGAAATTTGAACACAGAGTTGAGAAGCATGAAGTAGACAAAGGAGACAGAGATGAGGCGTCAGAGGAAGAGGAGTGTTTGGCAGGAAGAGAGCGTTCAATGCGCTGAGTGCTGCTAAGGATAACTTAGAGGATAACTTGTGTGAATTAGTTCTCCCTTCCCACCATATGGGTGCTGGGAATCAAAGACCAGAGTCAGGCCGAGCATGGTGGCAAACACCTTCTCCACTGAGCCATCTGGCTGGCTATTTGCCATTTGGCAGATGGTTGCCTCTGACAAATATCTAATGCCGTCCAAAAGGGCTCCAACATCTTCTTTGGTGGTTGGCCTTAGTTATCAATCTTACTAAGTGATGTCAATGACTAATGAAACACACCTGAGAGTCCGTAGCATGTTTCCAGAAAAAAACTGTTATAAAGGGACAGTGACTGGACATGTGTGAGGTGCCTTCAGAGTTGGGTGACACCTCCCAACGGGTGATCCAGATAAAAGAGAAGTCTGAAGCAAAGGCTGAGCAGTGTACACCCCTGCAGCCCCTGCCTTTCTGGGGATGTGTATCACCATGTTGCAATTCTTCATTTACATCAGACTCTGATGTCTTCTATCTTTCAACATGAGTTAATGCCCACGGTTTGAGAGAGATCTTCTAGGTGTTCATTGTCAGAGAGGACCTGCTCACCCTCCTGGACTTGGTGGCTACATGATTGCTTGCCTCTTCAGGTTGCTGTTGGAGCAGCTACTTTGGAAGCTAGTCCGACGGGTCCTTCTTCCGTTCCTCTAGAGAGCTTTGCCCACTACAACTCCCAAATCAGGTCACCCGGAGTGGGTGGGGTTTCGACACAGGGCGCATGAGTAGTCCAGCATTCAGACTAACCAGAAGGAGAAGAGTGACCAGTGGTTTGGAAATATAGGAAATACAGTGGAGAGATTTCAGTAGGATGAATTCAGGGATTGGTGGAAGACAGAAAGGAAAAAGAATCCTCATCACTGTAAAGAAACTGAGGTTGGCAGGAGGCAAAATGGAGTAATTCTTGCTTCTGTGATCATCACTTTACTTGTTGCTGAGTTGACTGGAACCTCTGAACCCCACAACACCGATTTATCCTGTCAGAGTTCAAGAGGCCGGAAGTCCAAAGTCAGTTATGCCGGGCTGTGATAAGGTATGGACGGGACCCTGGAAACTCTGGGGAGAATCCGTTGCTTGTCTGTTCCATCTTCTGGTGGCTACTGAATCTTCTCTGCTTGTGGTCACATCGAGCCTGCCTCTGTGGACAGGTGGACTTTCTGTCTATGCTGACACCCCCTTTGCCCTTTGCCAAACTCTTCTAAGGACACTTGCGACTACACTTACTCTGAGAGAATCTCGCCATCTGTAGACTCTAATCACAACTGGCAAAGACCCTGTCTGTGCATGTGTGTGTATGTGTGTGTGTGTGTACTTGTGTGTGCACATGTGTGCTTGTGTGCGCGTATATACTGACGTACAGGAAGAGGCAAGAATTCTGAGGACCATTATTCAGTCAACTGACTAGGACACAAATTTATTTCTAAAATTTTGAAATAATCTGTCGGTAGAACAGTTGAGCATTAGACTCAACACATTCTGCACTTTACTACAACTTGAGATTTAAAAACCACTTTACTTTTGTAATATTTGTAATATTTAATATGTGAATGTATTAAATTTGTAAAAAATGTATAAAAATACATAAAAATCTAATATTTAAATGGGCTGTCCCTTTTTCATAGTAGAACGGTGACTAACATTAACTTCTAACTAGTATTTGAGGCAAAGACATGCACATTACTTTCAAAAATAGCTCAACAAATATTTAATGACATGAATAGATTTTTCCATAGGCATGACCAAGTACCAGGGTCAATTCTTATTAGTTGCAAATAAACAGGAAGTGCCCAGTTTAAATGACTGAGATACATAATACCATGCTGTTGTATCGACCTGGCTTATATTAAATTTATTGCCCTAGATGTTATTCAATATGTATAAGTACATTATTTTGACATTTAAGTAATTTAATAAAATAATGTATATGGGTACATCAAAATGAATCATAAATTATGCACGTATGCAGTTGTAGATAAAGCCTCTGAGATGGCTGGTGTCTGGATTAAACTATACTGTGTTGTCTGTCCATTTGGATGTATTGTGTTGTCTGTCTGTCTGTCTGGCTTTTTCTGGCCGTGTGATGCCTTCTTTGACACCCCCTTTCCTTCAGGGAACCTTTTCTTGTTTAATATCCTCCTGTCTCTGTCTGACTTATTCAGCCCTGTTCATGCATCTGTCTATCTGAAAAGTCTATCTGTCTTACCTTGGAATCATCTGCATCTTTTCCCACTCTGGGAAAAGCTGGACCCTGGAGTCAGTTTCTACCTGGAGGCTATCAGAACTGCTAAAAACTGTCTGGAGTCTCTCCCCTCTTCCTGCCCCTTCTCCCTGCTCAACCTATCTCACAGGAACACAATAGAGAAAATGGAACTCACTAGTCTCTATCCTTTTTAATTTAACTGCGCTCACTCAAACAGACTTTTATTACAATACAGACTGATTTTTATATAATAGCCTTTTGTGAAAATTCACCCATTTGGCTTTTTTAAAAAATTAGCTTGTTTTTTGACAAATAATTCACATTGCAAATGAAACCCACCAGAGTCAAATGCACGCCTTTCTCCCCTAGGGCCTCAGTTCTAAAGCAATTTCTAGACCTTTAAGACGTAGTCTCAAACACTGACATCAGGGAGGAAAGTATTACACAATACATATTCACACACACAACTCCCTGGGGCATCGGCTCTCTGGTTCTTGCTGCAGCAGCTACCACACCCTTTGCAGGCTTGGGAGGGACAGGAGAGGAATCGACTAGGCCATTTCCTGGTGTGCTGCTTGCCTGTGACATCCGTCCTTCCACGGCTGTTGTCTCCTTCCAGCTGGAGCACGCTGTGCAGAGCACTCTGGCTAATGATCTAGTTCAAGCTCAACCCATTAGCTGCGTGATATTGGAGAGCTCATTTGTCTCCACAATTCTCTTTCCTCATCCTTAAAATGGACGACAACGAGCTACATAGTATCCACTGTACTGCTAAACTTGGGCATCACAACCTCTCCGACACATAAACATTGCAAACTCTAAATAAAATGTGGACCAATTCCCACATGAAGATGGCTTAGAACACAGAGTTTGCTGATGAGAAAGTGCTAGTGTGGTATATATTCATTTCCCAGATACTGATTAAAGGTTGTCCTTGTCCCACTGGTACACACGTATCTTTTCATTTAAATTAAGAGAAACACACAGCAGTGAAAAACGTGGTTTTCAGCATCCACTTAGCTTCAGAGCTAACTGCTCTAATTGTAACCGAGATGACCGAGTAAGTGGAGGTCATTTTTGGTCACCATGGCTCTGCCCGTACCAACCCTGCCATCACACAGCTCACCCTTAGAAAAGGCACACTCACCACAGGATGGAGCGGTGTTCCTGGGAACATAAATTGCATCTGCTGGGCAAGCATGGCTGCTGCAGTTTTTTGCTGGATCAAATTGTTCCTCCCATTAATTTCTAGCTGGGTTTTTAAGTGTGTCGGAGGATGAAGATATTTGCAGTTCTCTCTTGAACAGCGGCCCTGCAAAACAGACAATCCAGGGTTAGGGTTGCACTAGGGAGTTGGTAACACCATTGCCAACAATGTCACACTCATTACTTTCATTCTTTACGTTCCAAGGCAAGGGGAGTGCATGTGTGGTGTGTGTGTATGTGTGTGTGCACATGTGTGTGCATACATGTTTGCATGTGTATATGTGTGCATATGTGTATGCATGTGTGTGCATGTGCGTGTCTGCGTGTCTGTGTGCACGCACACGCATGCGTGTATACATGTATGCACGTGTCTGTGTGTATATATTGTGCGCACGCAAGCGTGTGTGTTAATGGAGAACGAATCAACGTATCAAATATTACATGATTATCCAGGTCCCTCCCCTTATCTTTCCCCCTCCCTTCCTTCTGCCTGTCCTTCTGCCAAACCTAGACAACTCATTTCAAAGGGCTGACAGCTATGAGCAAGGAGGAAGGCCTCCACGATCAGAAGCACACGCTGATCTTGACCCATGAGCCTCCCAGCTCGCTGCCCACTCCCAGCTCGCTGCACACTCCCAGCTCGCTGCACACTGCTTTGCACAGGCTTAGAATGAAGGTGGAAGGAAGTTCTACGTGTGTGACCTAGACTGGCCAAAGACATGAGCGCACCGCTGTCGAGGGTGGGCAATGAGGACAGAACTCCTGGAACTCCTGTGAGCTGGACAAGCATCCGCACGTTTGACACGTACACAAAGCTGCCACCCTGTCCCTCACCCGTCCCCAGGACAGGAGACTCTGACTTAAAGTCACAGATGACAGAGTAAGGCGCGCGCTCATGACTGTTACCCTCCGGACACGGAAACGGGTAAGATGAGAAAAACCATTAGGTGATGAGCACGTACAAACAGACCTGAAGAGTCACTGCATCTGGAACAGCAAAACCCCGAAGTTTGCAAAGCTACCGGTCATGTGAGCAGTGCATTTACGTGCGAGGTAGGCAGTTCCCAGGGAAGGAACAGACAGCAAACTGTGGCAGTCATTTGGAATATCAACATTCCCTAAAGAATTAGTCTAACTGCAACCTGGCAAAAAGAATATGAGTTTGTTTATCAGATTACAAAAAAAAAATTAAAGCAAGCGTGGTGGAGCTGGAGGAACGGGTTTGTTTATAGCTATTCTGATTTATAACATCTGGAGCTCTCTGTTTCTCTAATTCCAGCTGCACTGTTGGCATCTGTAGCATCTCCTTTAGTGAGAATTTCCCCTTGAAGGCATGGTGATGGGCAGACCCGAGTCCCACGGTCAGTCCTGGTGGTCTGTCCATCAGGCCATGCCATTCTGAAGCTCCATTGACAGTGTGAGCGACTGCCCCAACTGTCTTGGAGTGGACATGAAAAGGAATTGATTTCTCATGAATCCTTAGCGTCTGCAATATCAGTTTCTCAGTCTCAAGTTCTTGTTGTGGCTTTCTTATTCAGCTTCCTGGAGGCAAACAGGCATCCTAAGGCTATGCCAACCGTATGGACATCAGGGTAGCTGGAGATGCCACTACCCCGGCCCCTCTGATGCTCCACAAATCCGTGTTTGATTGTTTCTGTCTTGACTTCTGAATCTTAGTTCCCCTTAGTGCTCTGCCACTTCCCAGGGTCCCCTGATTCCTATGAATTTATTTCAGCCATCCTTTACTTTACATCTCTTTTCTTTTCTCTCTTGAAAATCCCCCCAGCCTCCTAGTTTGTTAAAATTTAATCTCCAGGAGAGCATTCGGATGGGCTCAGCTCCTTCATCTCTGCATGTGGCCTGCAGTGAGTCAGCTGCCTTGATGTCAGATGTCCAGATGAATTCTGTCATCTGTGAAGGAAGGCAGTGACAGGATCTGAGACACAGCTACCTCCCCTCAGCCTGGGTGCAGAGGGATTAAACAAAAAAAAAATCCTTGTATAAAAACTAAGGCAGCTTCGGTGATCTCAGTTTCAAATCCCCAGCCGTCTACACTGCACTGGGCACCTGACACCCAAGAAACCGTGCAGACCATGCACACGTGAGTCTGCGTACACAGGTGTGGGAACGGGCTGGATACAGGGTGGAGGGACGCAGGATTCTAAGAGGGAAGATGGAACCAGCAAAATGTCTAACATGCATCAGGATGGTAGATGGCTTGGGGTATAATTATCAATTTGATCAGTAATCTTCTAATTCGATGCTTTGTTGCTACTCGTACAGATTTCAATTGGCTAGAAAATATGGCTTTCTGGTTGCTGCTGCTACTTCTTCTCACAACTGGAACCCTTAGAGAACTCTATTAACCACTTTCCTGGTGATAGAACGTGGTTTATAACATTAGATTCATCATGTATCAATGGACCTCCCTTTTCACAAGAATTAATTCAATTTCCTACTGTCCTGTCTCATACACTCTGAGTGCAGAATATTATTGATCATCAGTGTGCCCGGCAATTTATACGTGGTTATCTCATTTTCTCCTTACAACAGCAGTGATGATTCCCTCCTTCGGAGAAGAGTAGATGAGGTCTGAGGAATGAGATAACACTTCCCAGACCATCTGTGCTAAGGAGTGGGCTGTACTGTACACCCATGTCTCTCTAAGTCAGTTCTACCAGATATTAGCAATGGTTAAAATCAGGGAGAGAAACAAATCTAGCAAATGTAGCACTATCCTTCAGAGAACAACAGGATGCGGGACAAATGTTAGACGTACTGGTATGCACGTACGTGAGGATGTGGAGCCAAGAGGTCATTATTCATTAGGCCTATGTGTGGATGGTGAATAGGGGGTCAGTAAACTCACACGCTGGGCTCATAGCTGAGCTCAGCCTTTCCCCACCTGTATACATTAGATTGAGTGATGATTTTCTTAATTTATATTATATATGTCCAGGGCTCCATTTGAAAGCTGCACCATTATGCAGCTGTTAAAATTAAGACACGGATAAAGTTCACAGAGCTGTCTGGTATACAGGAAGTTGAAGAAAAAGCATGTGTATATGTTATTTTGTTTGGAGTAAGTCTAAGATCGCAGATTTGCTACTATTCTCAACAGTTCTTCGCTTCTCCCACTGGATAAGCTTTCGGATCAAAGAACGATAAAGACTAATTAATTGTTATTATTCCCATATCATGTCTGGAGTTCCTTTCAGCTCAATAGAATGTTTCTGCAACAGTCCCTAGATAAACAATGTGGACCCTAGATCAGTCTGGCTGCAGGGTTTTAAGGAATGGTGTCTGTGGACATCTCAGACATTCTAATTCCATCACTGTGAGACGCCAGGAAACAGAATCTTAGTAAGAGACCCTATCGGACTCCAAAATCCTACAGGAAAAGCTACTGTCAAAATATAATGAGCTATCTGACACAGTAAACAATTTGTAGAAAAATTCTTGTGAAGGCGCAAGATTTCTCAGGATATGCATCCTTGCACAAAACAACTGTTGATTATCACAGCAGGTTGTCATAACTGACTGACATGGGCAGTGTGAAGATTTGAAAGCATCTCCATAGACCACCATGAAGCAAAACCAAAGCGTCACAGACAGTGTCTCCTGAGGTTAGCTCAAGAAACAGACACAAAAATGTACTGGTATTTTTTCCCTGTGGCTGCTGGGCGTATTTATTGTTTTTCTTCATTTCAATGTCTCTTCTGTTTTGCTTCTTGGTAGAGACATTTCTCAGGGGATGCAGAAGCAAGGCCCAGCCCTGGGAAAGTGGTGTGAGATGGAGTTGGGGGCACACCACTCAGGGATCTTCCAGGGCCTTATAGTAACTGGAAGCTGGAGCCCGAGCTGAGGCCCGTGAAGCAGGCTCGCACTGAGGATTGATTTGGAGCCAGCAACCCAAAGCTATAAGCTTATTTCACTTCTTGTGAGAGGCACTTGCCAGGTGCAAGGATGGGAGATGGTTGTCAGGTTCCAGGCCAAGTCATGGATCCACCCGACTGATATGTACTGCTAAATATTATGCCTAGTGCACATAGAAATGAGCACAAACACCACACACCCTCTTCCTTCATGAAGCCCCGTGGGCTGTCAGTAAAGATGATGCTGACCAAAATTTGTGTATCACACATTATGAGATGTGTTCTGGAGGGGACGCTGAGGAACAGTCGAAGAGACGTCCAGAAATGATAAGTGTTCCCTAAACTGAGAACGGAAAGGCCAAAGGGCGTGTGTTTGATGTGCTGTATGAACTGTGCACGTATGTTGACTGTACGGCCGGTGCACATGTTATATGGTTCTACGTGTTGTGTTTGGCACGCTCACGTGTATTGAGTATGCGTGTGGTGTGTTGCTGCATGTGTTAGGGGAGGAATAAGATATAAGGACAGAAGAAGAGAATATGCCACGGGAAAGAAGTACGACCCATCTGGGAACATGCGTGTGGCTTCCCAAGCTGGAGCCCAGTGTGAGTGAGTTGAGTGGGAGTTGGAGAGGTGAGAAAAGATGAGGCAGGAAGCAGTGGGTAGAAGGCAGATACGGAGAACAGCGAGACTGCAGTTAGGGACACGGTCTTCATGGTAGCATGAGGAGACTGACACGTCTGCTTCACGTGTGGCAGTCCGATAGGTGCCGGCCTCACCTTCCAGCGCCACATCACCAATTCTACTGTTGTCTGTATGACTTGCTCAAAAGTCCTAGAAGAATTCTGACTGGGTCTGTGTGGCTCAGTCTGCATTCCCAGGCAATCTCTACTCCAGGAAAGTTTAGCTTAAGGATGGTGGTTACAATGAGGTTTAGATTTTCAAGCAGAACTGAATTTATTAAAATAAGCAACCATGGGAGGGTTTCAATACGGAGAACCCACGCCCATCTGCAACAGAGTGAGTGCGGTAAGACACCGAACGAGTGTACCATGTCTTTGCAGGACAACAGACTTGAGCTATCAGAACTGAATGGTCATTGAGTTATAGGGCAGGGGATGGAAAAAATGTAGCTTTGGCAAAAGGAAAAGACTACAGAATCAGGTTAGAGTAAGAAAGAGCATAAAAGAAAAAGGTTGATTTTTTTCTTTCAATTGCCTTTTTTTAATAA